ACGAACGTTTGTTAACTGACGTTTTTATACGTTTTGTTTAAACGCTAGACGCGTTTCGGTTCATAAACAAATTGTTTTGGTACGCTAGCGTCTATGCTACACGTCTATATGGTTTAATAAACTTGAATTACTCAAGCGTTCCGCTTGAGTAACCCACCTTCGTGACAATACTTACACAGATGCTAATATCCGATTCATTGATAAATAGCAATTCGCGCAAAGGCTACTGAAACTGGTAATGTTATTAATTTTTTTTTTTTTTTTCAAGGTTTAAAAAATTTTAAATAGATTTAAAAAATTAAAAATAACCGTTGTTTTTCTATATGTATATAGCTACTTTTCTGCCGCTTACTAAAAGATTTTAAAGCAAGGAATATTTATAGAAAAGGTTAATGTGAGATTTACCAAGACCCGTAGTTAATGGGTCTGGACAGATAGTAATTAAGTTTTTTTTGTACACTTATATATGCATAGATAAAAAAGTTTTAAAACTGACAAAAATATTTCATTAGTGTTCTTAGATTTTAGATCATAAATACCATATTAGTTATTCTTTGGGTAGTTACTCAGCGGGCAAAAATACGTTTATTGTACGTACTATGTACGTGCAAATCACTTCCGTCTGTCGATATACTAAAAGTAAACCTTTAAAAGTTTTTTAGACAAGTCGAAATTAAACTAAACTAAAAACATTTATATAAGCTTAGCCGTATACTAAACAAAAATAGTCGTTATTGTAAACTATCATAATTTTATATGATTTTTTTTTTATAATTTAAATCTTAATTTAATCTGGGGAAAACAAACAAACGTGTTTTCCAAAGAAATGAGACCATTGCAAATGAAATGACAGTAGCTAGACAAATGCTTCGCAGATCCATGATTGATAAAAAATGTTTTTGATCTAAGTAAAATGATTTTGACCAAGTTGAGATTCTTGGGAGGATCCAATTCCAAAGAAAATGAAAAAGATCTTCAATTATTTGTTGTTTGTATATTTAGATAAATAACAAAAAAAAACTGCTGAAACAGAATGGAAATGAGCTTGGCTTTTCTTGATGCTAAAACTAAACGATAAGGTAAGCTATGTCTTTTTAATTGTATTGTATTTTTGTTTGTGAATATGAAACCATAAAAGCTATTGCAGAAGCAGTTTTGCTTAAAGAAAAATGGAATTTCTTATTGCAACCAAATTTTTTTTTACTGGCTATTTAAGTAAAGAAATAAATGCGCATGAATTTGTTTTTCTAAAGTAAAATATCTGGTTATTGTTATTTATTGATACTAAATAAACTCCTGTAATCTAATTCCAAGGAATTGTGCTTTTTATTTATTATAGAACTTTTTGCGAATTGCTATCATACTTATTGTTATTTTAATAATAAATCATTCTTGCATAGATTATTTAAATGTTTTTTTTTTTTTTTATTTAGGTTGTAAAGTATTTGCTTGCGATTTTTGTTAATGACAATTTAAACAATAATGGCTGTCAAATGGATAACGGATGTAGCATGGTAAAAAATGAAAACTATTTAGTTATGTATTCAAAAGATTGTTCATAACTAACAAAAACTAAAACTTTTATACTTTTATTAAAGTTGACGTAATATAAATGTTGATATTAATAAAATATTAATAAACGACTCATAATAGTCAAAAACAATTTTTTGTTAGACAAATATATATATATATATATATATATATATATATATATATATATATATATATATTCCTCAATTAAATTATGTAAAAGTACTAGAAAAAAACTTGTTTCTTTACGCAGTCGCCTTGTATATCAAATTTTGTGTTTCTGAGTTAAAGACATAATGAGAGATAAATGATCACAAAATTAGCTCCGCGACAGTAATAGCCTTCTTTTCCGAAAGCAAAAAATTGTTCAATGGTTCTATAAAGTAAAGTTTGTGTTAAAACAAAGTTAATTTTTCACACTCTTTATTTTTTTTATTTTAGACTCATGTCATACAAGTTGACAACATATAACAATATGGGTTTTAAATTTTAAAAGCGTTCAAGTAAACAAGTGTAATTTGAGTCACTGTGTATGTTGGTTTCTTCTTAAACGTTTTTTCAAAGGAATTTTATTAAATTTAATTTAAATAGCAAGTTTTTAGTTTATATTGTTAAGCACTCAATTAAATTATAATTAAATAAAAGTTTCTGATTTAGTTAAGAGTGAAAAAAGATTTTTTTGTCAGTTAAAACTGTGAAGCAAGAAAAAGAAAATGAAAAAGAAATTTTTGAAAATTTTTAAATAAATTTTTAAATATTTTTTTAAATATTTTTTTAAATAAATTTTTAAATAAATTTTTAAATAAATTTTTAAATAAATTTTTAAATAAATTTTTAAATAAATTTTTAAATAAATTTTTAAATAAATTTTTAAATAAATTTTTAAATAAATTTTTAAATAAATTTTTAAATAAATTTTTAAATAAATTTTTAAATAAATTTTTAAATAAATTTTTAAATAAATTTTTAAATAAATTTTTAAATAAATTTTTAAATAAATTTTTAAATAAATTTTTAAATAAATTTTTAAATAAATTTTTAAATAAATTTTTAAATAAATTTTTAAATATATTTTTAAATAAATTTTTAAATAAATTTTTAAATAAATTTTTAAATAAATTTTTAAATAAATTTTTAAATAAATTTTTAAATAAATTTTTAAATAAATTTTTAAATAAATTTTTAAATAAATTTTTAAATAAATTTTTAAATAAATTTTTAAATAAATTTTTAAATAAATTTTTAAATAAGTTTTTAAATAAATTTTTAAATAAATTTTTAAATAAATTTTTAAACAAACATTTTAAAATAAACTTTGGTTCTGAATAGGTTTATAACTAGATTTTTATAAGACTATTTTTAATGTTAAAGTCTTATCGAAGAGCTTAGTGCTAAAAGTACCTTAGTTTTTGAAAGTTTTTGAAAATGCCGTTCAAATTAGATTTTTTCATATAATTTTTTTTGTGAATTAAGTATTTTTAGAATTGTAAAGTCAGATATCAAATTTAGATGCACATTAAAGATAGTGTCTATTGGCATGGCAGCCTTGTACAACTTCTAAAGACTATTGACACAACTGCCATATAAACAGTTAAGAAAAGTTGTTTGCACGGTCAAATTAGAAAAATTTGAAATTGGTAACTTTTGAATTAATTAGTAGGTACAACAAAACAAATTAAAAGCTAAAAACGAAGATCTGAAAGAAAATGACAGCATTGATTTTTACATAAAAATCTTTGCCATAAAAAAAAAAAAAAAAAAAAAAAAAAAAAAAAAAAACGCGAAAAGAACAAGTAAAATTAAAAAATAATTTTTAAAACCCAGTGCTTTTATATGTTTTAAAAACACAAAATATCCAATAAGGTTTTTCTGATAATATTATTTTATTTTATTAACATTTCGTTCTATGCGTGAGTAAAAATAATCTGGAAGAGGCAAGACTCGAACTTCCAACCTTCAGTTTACGAAGTCGGCAACAAATTAGCTAAACGCGCGTTTAAGTAATCAAACAATTAGTATACTTATTTATAAATCTTAAATTTTTTTTTTCTATTTAAAAAATAAATTTTACTGAATTTTTTTTTAATTTAACTAAATTAATTAACTTATTGCATAACTAATTATTGAATATTGTATTGTCATCAAGCAACTGTATGTATGTAAAATTTGAAAAAAATCTATCATCAGCAAGTGACTCAAAAACTGATTGCAAGATTTGGTTTTGCGGCCGTGCGAACAGCCTTTTTAGAATCGAAACACGGCGGCCGTTCGAATAGCCTTTTTAGAATTGAAACACGGCGGCCGTGCGAATAGCATCAGCCCACATTCAACGTTGAAATTTGGACGTGCATAATACGTTCAATTTTAGACGTACATCAGTATTTCTTATCTTTTATACGTCTTTTATACGTACAATGAACACGTACCCGTTGGAAAAAAACTTTACTAAAACAACTATTTTACTTGAACATGACTTACCATATGATTCTGACTGGCTATGACTTATATTAAAGTTGTAACCAGTGAGAATCAGTTCTTAAATCTCTCTTATATGTCTTTAAGGTTCATTTTAATTGATTTAGTTTAAAGTTAGTCTTTTCTATACAACTTAAATTTTTTTTAAATTTAAGTTTCATATGCAGTTTACAAATAATTATGTTAATGACATCAACGAGGGTGTAGTCTTTTACCATTTCCATTTATTCTTAATCTTAAAAAATTATATTGAATATAATTGCTATAAAGTTGACAAAAATTAATTATATTAAAAAAATTAATATTATTAATCTAATAACAAAGTTATAAAAATAAATTAACTTTTTTTTTACCTTGGGTATTAAAACCTTTATAAAAATTTTGATTACAAATATTTACCACAACTAATTTTATTGCTAAAAGTTATTAGTATGCAGACTATTACTCATCTTCAAGAAATGTAATCATTAAGTACTTTTTAAAATGTTAAGTACTTAATCCTCATATTTTTATATAACTTAATTCTTAAAAGCTTTACATTTTCTCTAGACTCTGGCATAAAATTTTAATTTGACGCAATTAAAACATAAGTTCCATTAAACATTTTTTAATTAAGTTGCATAAGCAATGCTGTTAAGTTCATGTTTGAACTTAATTACCGTAAATCATTTATGCAAATTATAATTTTATTATTCAAGGTAATATTTCAAAATATTTTGATTAAAAACAAGATGTTAAAACTTATTAACTTTTATTCAATTCTATTGCGAATATGTTTAACACTACAAAAAATAAACAAAAGTATAGTCTTAATATATATAAAGCATAAATATTATGACTAGTCTTAATATATATACTTTATATATACTAAGACTATACTTTAAAAGTATAGTCTTAATATAATAAGTAAATAGTCTCAATCTTAAGCTACCGTCGTTTTTTTTTTTAATTAAAAAACAATATATTATTAACTAGTAACTAAATAAAAAGAATACCTGTTAAAGATATAAATGAAAAAGTAAAGTAGAAGCCGATCAGGTACTTCATGTTTCTTGTTTAAAAAAATCTTAAGTTAACAAAGAGTAGACACAATTTGATTCCTTTCTAAATAATAATAGCAAAAAAATAATTCGTCAAAAAACGCAATAAAGTATTTAATAAATAATTATACGTACACAACGTTTGCTGATACACATACACAAAGGAAAAAAAATAAATAAATAAGTTTTAATCTCTGATGGTAAATCTACTAATGTCAAACTAATCCATTCTAATATAAATGTTCAAAAGGCTAGCTACATTTTTATTTTAGTCAACGTTTTTTATTATTATTATTATTGCTTTTTTTTTTTGAGAAAAACAAAATCATGAGTTATAAAACACATATTAGGTAGGGTTAACAAAAGATCAATTGCTTTTACGCAGTTTTTCGAGTAATTGCTTTACGTGAATTAAAATTTTAGCAAAATCACTAAAAATTTTATTCATTCTAAAAAACGTTGAGTAAATCAAATTACTTTTTTTTTAATCACGCGGCCTACAATAAATGAATAAACAGTTATGTTTTAAAGGGTAGCAGGAAATAATCCCTCAGAAAAACTCCCCTCACCCCTCCCCCCGAGAAAAAATCCCCACGGATAAAATCCCCCCAAGAATAAGACACCCCAGAAAATATTCCCACAAAAAAAATTGTCTTTTAATTGAAATTAATAATATGTAGTTATGTTTATTTCTTTATTTATTTTAAATATTTATATAAAATACTTAATTTTTCATCAAAATGTCAAGTTATGCGCTATTCCTCGAATGTAGCGAATTTGTTGACACTTTGGGAAATCGTTAACGATTCTTAAAATTACATAAATTTTTTTTCTTTCCAAGTCACTGGAAAGTGACTTGAAACTTCCTTATTTTTTGTTACATTTTATATATTACTACATTGGTTGTTGATTAAATTAAATAACATTAACAAATTCTAAAATTATTATTTCGCAAGCGGACTCAAAAACCAATTACTTTATGGAACACAATAGGCCGTAGGAGCCTCAGGGATAAAGGAGAAAAGATTGTATTAGAGTAAGCATTTGAAATAAAATTAAAAGTTTTTTTTTTTTTTTTTTAATTTGCCGTTCCATATATTTATAATAAAGACATATTACATTTATAAAAATTGGCCGGAGCAAGAAGAAGACAATGACTGTCTTATCACAGAGCCCCGTTTAAAAAACGTAAGTGTTTATAAACAAATATTATTAAAATATATAAAAAAAACGTTAAGGTAGCAGATCCCCTTAAAAATCAAAAAAAATTTAATTTTATTTTTTTTACTTGATTTTTATTCAAAATTTAACGGAGATTATTAATATGAAAACAGTTTCTTATAATTCAATTTAGTTTTTTAAATGTTTTTATTTTAGTGGACCATAGTTTTTCAGGCTTCCCTAGTTACCACCATAGCAACGGGTTTGATTGTTGGTTTTTTAACTTTCTAATCAGCTTTTTGGAGGAAACCTCAGTCTTAAAAGAGTCTTGTTTGCCTAATGTTTGTACCAGTGCTCAAAACAACTTTAGGATAAACTCCACAGCTTGAACATTACAAATTAGAATCACAGCATTGACTATATTTGAAAGCTTCTAAAAGCAACTTTTACTTCAAATTTGTTTGCAACTTTTAAACAAACAAAAAAAATGACTCGCAGTACGATTAGAAAACGTAAATACAAGTTTAAAGGAAATCCGTACACATGCAATGATAAACAAAAAAATAGTTTACCTTCATCGCCAATTGCAAGTTGTACAAGTGCAAAAAAATTATTTTCGAAAACGAAAACTACTCAAAATATTGAGTGTAACAATGAAGATTACAAGAACAATTATAACTTTATTATGAATTTTTCTATATTAAAAAAAATATTTAGTAAGTAAGTATTTTGTCCTGAATGTGGAAATAAAATTACTTTGCATGATAACATTGGGAAAAAAATGGGATTTTGTTTACAATTTGAAATTTTTTGTGAAAGCTGTGATAAAATTATAGACACATTTAAAACTTCAGATATAATTAAAAGAAGTGCAGAAGTTAATACACAAGTTGTTGTTGCTTTTAGAGAAATAGGAAAAGGATATACTTCCATTGAATCATTTAATCGTTGCATGAATATGCCAAGACCGATGACAAAAAAAAACTATGGTAAAATAACAAAATTACTTCACAGTGCTTATGTCGAAGCAGCCAATACTTCCATGTCAAAGGCTGCTAAAGAGACACATGATATTGTTTTAATGAATGTCATCAGTGATAATAAAAGTATTGTTGATTGCCATGTTTCTGTTGATGGAACATGGCAAAAAAGAGGTCACACATCCATAAATGTTACTTTGATATCAACAAGTAATCAAAAATGTGTTGACCATTTTGTTTTATCAAAACAATGTAAAGGTTGTGAATATTGGAACAAAAGAAAAAATGAACCTGGTTATAATAACTGGCAAAATAATCACATTTGTCTCATTAACCATATAAAATCATCAGGATCAATGGAATCTGTGGGTGCTATTGAAATGTTTGGACGATCTGTGGAGAAGTATAAACTAAGGTATACATCTTATATAGGAGATGGAGATACACCTTCATACAATGATGTTAACAAATCTCAACCATGTGGAACTAATGTTACTATTAATAAAAAAGAATGTGTCGGACATGTTCAAAAGCGTATGGGAACACGACTGCGAAACTTACGCCAATCAATGAAATTAAATGTATTGTCGGATGGGGGAAAAATATTGGGTAAAGGACAATTAACTGATAAAGCTATAAATACTTTGCAGAATTATTATGGTACTGCCATAATGCAAAATCTTAACTGCATTTATGAAATGAAAAAGGGTATTTGGGCAACACTTTTTCATAACTCAGATATTCTTGATGAAACTGAACGACATAAGTTTTGTCCTCGAAACGTAAATAGCTGGTGCATGTGGCAGTCAAATAAACTAACAGGTAAATCAACTTACAAAGCTAAATTAAATCTTCCATTAGCAATAAATGAATTTTAAAACCCATCTTTCAAGACTTGAGCAGAGATGAATTATTATCTAAATGTTTGCATGGACAGACACAAAATAATAATGAAGCAATTAACAATTTCATTTGGAAAAAATGTCCTAAAGATGTTTATGTAAGTCGAAATATTTTTGAAATAGCTGTAGCATCTGCTGTTTTAGAGTTTAATGATGGAGCTAGTGGGATATATGAAGTTTTTCAAAAACTACAGATAAAGACCGATCGATTTATGGACATAGAGACAATTAAAAAAGATAAGACTCGAATAGGTTATATGACAAAAAAGACTTCAACAGCAGGTATTAGCAGAAGAAAGTTACTAAGAGCATTGAAAAAAGGATTCATAGATAAAGAAAATGAAGAAAGAGCATCATATGGTGCTGGTGCTTTTTAGAATGATAAAAAATTTATTAATTTCTAGTTACAAAATCTTTAGGAGCATTTTTCTTGTGTTTTATCTTTTTAATACTTTTCGACACATAAAACGCGTTTTCTCAACTTCTATTATAGATTTTGATTTGAAATTTTCAGCAAATGTTCCTTGTTATGTTATCTAGGGTTTGTTATTCAATGAAAGTTCAATTTTCATTTTAAGTATAATTTTTTTTTTTTTTGTGTACTTCATTTTAATAATTTTTGAAAAAATTGATTATCTTTTAAAGAATGTATAATTTTTACACAAAAGTGGTAGAAACCCTAGTTAATAGTACTACTAACATACCCTGAAAATTTGAAGTCCACAGCATTTGTAAAACTTGTGTAATCACGTTTGAAAATTTTTTAAAATGGCTGCTTAATAGTCTAATTAGTCCTTAATTACTTTTTTTTTTCAAAATTTTCAATTAAAAATAAAAGTTTAATTGGTATCAAACAAAACCTAATTGCAATTCGTGTTTAGTAGCATTAGTTTAAGCAACTTTATTTTAAGGGGATCTGCTACCTTAAAGAGTACATAACTTTTGTCAAATAATAAAATGACAATCATATTAAAAATTTAAAATTAAAGAAAGTTTTATATACTAATACAAATATATTTGATACATATAACAAAATATATTTAGTGCTAATCGAAGCGTTTTTTCTATTTTAAAATTACATTTTAAAAAAAGTATTTAAAGTCTATTAAAATAAAATCTAATTGAAGTAAGATTCTTTTAGAAACTGTTTTAAATTTTTTTAAAGAGTAGTGTTCTTTATTTAAGTTTTTAATAAAATTTTTTTTTAGATAAGGTTCTCGATATTGAATTCGATAAGAACTTATTTTTAAATTAATTCTCGGAACAATAAAGTTATCCTCTAAAAACTTTGTTGGATACTTAAGAGATATTTCGCTAAAGTCAGATTGAAATATAAATGGAGATATTCCATGTTTCATTTTAAACATGAAAAGAAATGTTTGGTAAATGTTCAGTTTATTAACGTTTAAGGCCTTCCTAGTAGGTAGAGGACGTAAATAAGACGTCCTTAGGACCCACAGTGAGGTATTTGATTGATTTAGGCGACCTAAACATAATTTTTCAGAACTTCCAAAATAAATTAAAAAAAGTTATTTTAGCAATATTGAATAGTTAGTGAATATTAAAAACGTTAATTAACCGCAAATGGTTTTAACAACAAGCGGTAGGATACAAACAAAGTTGATCATTAATTATTGTCTACGCGATTTCTTTTGGTCGCTTATTTTTTAAGCATTTATTAGCATCAAATAAAGTTTAATCAAAATATATTTCAAAGTGTTTTGTGATGAATTCTAATGAAATTGGTATAGGTAAATACGTTTGGAAAGTTTTAATCAGTTTATTTGTGACTATATATAAGTTTGTTGGTTTTGTAAAAACTTTTTTCTTTCTCTTATTTTTTGCAATTTTCACTGCAAACTATAAGTAATTAGTAATACTTCCAAGCATTTCCAGGTTACTGTTTTTTTATTAACAGGTAGGGTAAGGGTTTGACTTCAATGATATGTAAAAATTACCTGCCATTTTTTGCCATTTTGTTCTCCGTATTTGTTTATTCACTCTTCCTGTTCTTAAGTGTATGATAGGAAAAGACCAGGGGAGTTGTTGTTTTTCTATAAATGTTTTTTTCTCTTTTTTTTTCTTTTTTTTTGTGTACTTTAAAGAAAGTAAATGGTTAACTTTTTTTCAATAAAGGTTTAC